ACACACACACACACACACAGAGTCACAGACAAATTTACCGAATGTGTGCGGCTGAGCAGAAGCGATAAGGTGAGGGCTGTGAAGAAGCAAGTGCTCTGGACTAGCTTACCAGAAGGCGCTGTTGATAAGCATGAAGTAGGGGGCGCTGGCCGCCGAGCGCCACTCGATCACGGACGAAACGAACGAGCCCACGGCCCCACTGCCCCGCGACACAACACGCGGCAGCATCTCCGACCACACGCTACGCACCTCCACGCATCCTCCTGAAAAGAATTCACTGAACACTGAACTCATTTAGCCGACCGCGATCACCCCAACAACGCCAGCTGGCCTGCTGCACCTGAGACAGCCAGCCATTCATCGGAGAAAAACCCAGAAACATTCTCCCTCAACCTGAACAGACGCACACACACGCACATGCAAACACGCATGCGCCTCTTCGAACTAAAGTTCAAGACTGACGCATTTCACATGCACTGCCGGTACCGAACGGAGATGAGCACATGCAGCGGATAGCAATCAGTAAGGACTCGGCTCCGCTCCTCAGAGCATCGTAAAACGCGAGAGACATCCTGAGCCAAGCCTTACTGCCCCGCGAGTAGCCCAGCTACAGAGAGGTTACGCTGCCCTTGCTGGCGCTCGGTTCGCACTGCTTGCGCACAGCAACGAAGTATTGGAGTCATGCGTAATGGGGAGGGTTTAAAATGCCAAGCACGAAATGAGACGCTTAGTGAAGCGTGCTAAGCACGTAATCTGGCCCGATGCTTAGACTGGCAGTCGAAGGAAGCAACTGCACCGTGGCGCCGACGAGTCACACCGCAGTGCTGAAGCACGAACGCAGCAGCAGGAACAGCGAGAGAAGATCCAAAACATGTACTGTTTCGGGATCATCCACAGGGAAACCGGCGCACATAATGCTTTTTGTTTTTCGAGCACCGGCATGTTATCAGTGTCCCGAATTTTTATGCATTTTTTGCAGCTATGCAATGCAGAAAACACGTAATGACGAGGGGTTGTCTGTGTGTTCGTCTGTACCGATTTTTCATCTTGGGACCTGCAAAAGCTACGGGGCTGAAATTTTGGGAACTGAATCTACATGCATGCACGGCCTCCACCCCCAAAATGGGCGCTCTCACCCACGTGGTACCCACGTACGGGTCCGCCAAAGTTTTTTACAGGCAAGCTGCTTTTAACTCGGAAACCAGAGAAGCTGAAAAGCTGGAATTTAAGGAGGCAGTCCCCGTCCGCGCAGGTATTAATGAACTCAAACCCAGCCCCAGATTATGCGTGGTACCCACGTAAGGGGCCGCCAAGGCTTTCTCCGGTAAGTTGCTAAGTCGGGGAACTGAAAAGTTAGAAAGTTGTAATTTTAAGGAGATGTTCCCCGTCCACACACGTCTTAATGAGCTTCAAGCCAGTCCCCAGGTGTGCGTGGTACCCACGCACGGGCCCGCCAAAGTTTTCTTCGGGTAAGCTGCTAACTCAGGGACGTCGGAAGATAGAGGATTGGAATTTTAAGAGGATGTTTCCCAGCAAAGTAGGTGTTGGTGAGATCAAACCCAGACATGGTGGAAGCGTGATACCAACGTACGGGCCCGTGAAAGTTTTTTTTCGGGTAAGTTACTAACTTGGGAACCTAAGAAGCTAGAGGGTGGGAATTCTAAGGTGACGTTCTCCGTCCATGTAGGTGTTAATGAGCTCTAACACAGTTCCATAGTATGCGTGTACCCACGTACGGGCTCGTGGAAGTTTTTTTGAGTAAGTTGCTAAGTCGGGAGCCAGGAAAGCTAGAAAGCTGAAATTTTAAGGGGGTATTTCCTGACAGTCCTGGCGGCCAGTCTTAATTTGTTTTGCTAGAAGTATCTGCCGGAAAAACCGGTATCGGTCGTGACAAAAACTGCGGGGAACGCCACCTGCAGAGAA